AGTGAATTAGTTAAAAGATGATTATTGGATCTAATTTGGAATATAATTCTAAGTTAACATTTTTAAAAAATATTATTATTATTACTACTATTACTATTACTATTACTATTACTATTACTATTATTAGGAAAAAAAGGAATATAAATTTGAGAGAGAGAGAAGGGGTGAGAGAATTGATTTTAAATCCATTGGTGCTGTTTGTGTGTAGGTGTATATATATATATAAAAGAAGGAAAGTAAGAAGAAAGAGAGAGTGTGTGTGTGTGGGGGATCCATACAAAATTCAAAACCCATCCTTACCCTTCTCTTCTTTATTTCTTTCTTATGTGTCTTCTAAGTTCTAGCAGAGAGAAAGAAAAAAAGTTAGAGCATGCGTGTGATGGTGAAAGGAATTTGATTCAAGGCTCCATAATAGGATATTGTAAAAGTAATTTGAAGCAGTCCAAGATTATATTGTATTGTTGGTGAAGGATGTAGTAGAAGAGAAGTTATAAGGGAAATTTTTTTGACAAAGCCATAATGTTACCATACTTTAATTTATGATTACTATTTCCTAATATTATTTGTGTGATTATTGAGAAAATTTGTAAATTATTATTGAAAAATTATTTTATGTTTATGGAAAATTTTGTGGAATTGTGAATATGCATTTTAAAATATTTTTGCCAATGCGATGTTATGTTGTAATACTGTTGGGAATGAGAAAATTGTGTAGATTATAATGTTGTATATTTATTTATTATTGATATATAATTGCTTGACTCTTGTGGGAGGTGTTAGAAGACTTATTGTTATATTTTTGTGCTATGTGGTATGCCTCTATTAAAGGCCAAATAGGTAGTTTGTAAGGGTTTAAGCTAGTTTGGCTAAGTAATCTAGCACAGAGTGAGGGCTATGACTCGAGATTAATGAAGAGAGATACGGATGGTTGTTTGTTATACATTACAATATCTCTTGTATTTCTATTGAATTATATAATTGTTGTTTTCTCACTTAGCAAGCACACAATAACTTTTTGCATATGTTATTATAAATTGGCATTAGTTATTGAGGCTTTTTAAGTCTCATTATATGGTTAACAATTTTTAGGAGAGGAACTAAGTGTGGTGTGTCGAGGAGCCCTTGAGGCTTAGTATTGTGGATCCATTGTCTTTGAGTATTTTGATTTATGGTTTTAATGATGTTATATTGTTAATGTTAAGACTTTTTATTTATTGAACATTGCATGAATGTAATGATGTGATCACGTCCTTTAAATTATTTTTAACTTTGGTACACTTTGGATGATTGTGACCTTGAAGTCTAATTTATTTTGAATAGTTTAAAATGACATGATTATGGATCCAGGAGAGCCTACAGATTCAATTTGGGAGCATGGAGGTTCGATGGATAAATGATTATGCGAGTGTATGAAAGTAATTTGATGAAAATGAATTTACACATATTAATATGTATGCATGCATGCATGCATGCATGCTATTGAGAAAACAAGATTTTATTTACTTTTTTTATAGTTATTCCTGTTAATAAATAGTTTTGAATTATTTTAGTTACTAAAACATTGTTTCACCCCATAAATTTATATTTTACAGGTTTTGAGACAGAGAGAAGATAAGGGAAAGAATAGGATAAGGAGTACCCAGACTATTGGCATAATGTCCTTTATTAATTGAGTTTATGTATGTGAATGTATATAAAGTTAAGGTTGTCAATTAAGAATTCATGTATTTGTGTAATACATTTTGATGCTCTTGCCGAGTCGTATGCTATGACATAAAAGAGTGTATTATATGGGTGTGGTAGAATTGGTTCTTGGTAGATATATGAAAATATATGATAAAATTAGCTCAGAGTGTGTATTCATTACATTACTTGTAGTAAAATGCTAATTTTTGGTTACAAGTATAAGAAGTGGTGATTTGTGTGTGTCATGTAAGGTGTGATATGATTGCATGAATAATAATACTGTACTTGTATATTGTGTAGATTTGAGGTATTTTAGCCAGAGTGAATTTTATTATAATACTTGTGGCAAAGTCTAAAATATAAATACAAGTGTGAGCTATCAGTGGTTATGTATAATAATAAAGATTATATGTTATAGGTTGTGTATATGTGGTCTAAGGATGACATCTGAAAAATTTCATATAAGGGCCTTGTTTGTGTGAAATTGGGACATAGAGTAGTCAAATCTTAGTTTTGGTGTGTTAATGATTATTTAACTATTTAATCAAGTGTCTAACGGTCCATTGAACTTGGTTCAAGTCTCAAAATGGGTTAATGATATTTGGGTATTTGGATGCTTAAAAATTATTTTAAAATTATACTTTTGATGTCTAGGTGTCTAAAATTCTCATATGGTATTAGATTAGAATGAAACTTTTATCACTAGTTAGCTTATTGAATAAGCTTTGTGTGGATGCTTAAATAATTCTAATCTAATATCAAATGTAAAAATAGTGCATGTCTAAAATTCATCCTAAAAAGCTATCATGATAGTATTTTGTTGTCATGATAGGGGAATGTGCGCCGCGGCATTTTGTGAAAAGCCATGGCACAGAGGTCAAATCGACCTCTTTATGCCACATGCCACGAGCATAGACAATTTGACTATGTTTTTCCCTCTATGTGTCAGAATGTGCTAAAATAACATTTTTGACCATGTTTTGCTTGCTTTTGTCTACCATGCTTCCTATAATTTCAAAAAAGAAAAATTAATCATTTAGTTCTTGTAATTTTATTCTAGTTGTAACTTAATCCTTAAAGTTTTTATTAGTTGTAAATCAGTCCCTAAAATTTACTTCTTATAATTTAGTTCTTGAAGTTTCAACCTCTTAAATATTGGTCCCTATATTTTAGAAAATAAAATTATAAAGATTAAAAATATTTTAAAATTTTAAATATTTATAACTATTAAAAGGGTTTAGTAGTTTAAGATATTAGTAATAAATTTTAAAATATTTTTAATCTTTATAATTTTATTTTTTAAAATAAAGGGACTAATATTTAAGAGGTTGAAATTTTAGGAACTAAATTGCAAGAGACAAAATTCAGGAATTAATTTACAATAGAGTCAAAACTTTAGGGACTGAATTATAGTGAGTTAAAGTTTAAAAACTGAATTATAATTGAGTCAAAACTACAGGGATCAAATGATTAATTTTTCCTTTTAAAAATCAATATGTTGGAACTTAAACTACATATTTAAAGGGTTTTGTTTGGGATCCTAAAGGTTTTCTATTGTATTTCAAATATTTAATTGATTTGACCCTTTTGTACTTACAATAAATTTAGGAGGGATCAATGACTTCTAATTATTGTTGCATGTTATAATTGTGTCGTGAATATTGATAATGTTAAGGTGGATATTACAGGCACATGTTATGGTTTGCACAATATGTAAGGATTGTTATTTACCTCCAATTAGATTAACCTCCTAGTTGATAGAAAATATTGGGAGGTGTAACCTGAATGTTTATAGCTTGTGGATGTGAGTTAAGTGTTATGCATGTGTATCTATGAGTGATGAGTATGTTTGGTTTGATTGTGGATGCTAATAGCTATGGTTGTATGTTTATAGTTCGAAGTGTTTGAAATTCTCTTTTGATATCAAATCATTATAAAACTAGAGTCATTAATTAAATTACTTATTTGTCTATGTGTGGGCGCTTGGATCACTCATTTAAAAGTTTGAGTTGAAAGTTAGGCACCGTGAAAGTTGAAATCCAATGCTATCATATCTATTATTGTCATCAATTGGCCACAACAAAAACCTCTATTAGCCATGACAAATAATATCGTCAGTCATGGCGAACAATGAGTTTGGCCACAGCAAATGACCTTATTGTAATTAGCCATGGTGGATTGTGCCTTTGGCCTCTATATCACGAGCCATGGAGGATGTGTGCTTGGCCACGATGGATGGTCTAATTTTGAGAAAATAACTCTTTTGATTTTCTTTTACATTTAGTTTTAAACACTCAATCTTTCCATGCTTCCAAAAACCTTTTTAGCTTTGATCTAAAATGTTTTTAAGGACCTTATCCTATTGTCTTCAATTTAAACTATTCTATTTTGAGATCTCATTTACTCAAAAGTATTCTTAATTAATCATTAGGGTTTTTAAAAGCGTGTCTTCTTAAATTATTAGCTTTAGGGATTGTGGTTAAGTATCAAGATGATGAAAACTAGATCAATCATTAAATCAGTTAATGCAGCAGGTCAAGGATTAATAGTTCAACCGAGGGTCAATTCAGAGTTAAACCGAACTTAATTAAAACAATGTAATTTAATTTATATGTATACAAATATTCATATATATATATATAATGAATATTTAAATAAAAAAATTGTTAATTCTCTTATAAATGGAACAATTATCAATAAACTCTTATAGATGTTAGAACAATTCCAACAAAAATCAAACAAAATCACACCCCAATAAAAAGTTTAGTAATTTAACTCTAATAACCTAACAAAAAGTTAATGCAAAATAATAATATTCTTTTAAAAATCATAATAATAATAACAAAAAAAATTAATAGCAGCAAAAAAAGAATTCATAATGATAAAATAAATAAAAAAATTGGATAATTGAAAGATAAAAAAATCAAAATAAAATTGAAAACAAAAAATATTAGAATAAACAATATGAACTAGAGTCTAGATACCTTGGATGAAATATACAACAACAACAAAAAGCAGCCTTATCTCATTAGATGAGATCAGCCACATAAATTATATGACACCATTATGCTTTACCATTTATTAAGTTTTTAAAAATATTATTAATTAAAACATCTCGCTCAACAACCTCTAAAAATGTTCTCTTCGGTCTTCCTCTACCCTTCTTGATAAGATTCAAAATCATCTGTTCCACTCCCCTCACAGGTGCCTCTCATGGTCTTTTTTATACTTGTCGCAACATTCACTACCTTTGATGAATTATATGATGTTAAAATTTGATTAATTACCAAGAATCAAGATATACTTGGTAAGCCTAAATGAATTAAAATATACTTGATAATATGAAATTCAAGATTTAAAAATCACATAATCGAAGAAAAGCAGAGCAATTGTGCATCATCGGAGGAAACGTGTGTCAGGAAATAATTGGCCAGAATTAGGACCTTCGCACTTCACCGTGGTTGCTTCTCCTCTTCATCCTTTTTCTCTGTATATCAAGAACTAAAGAACATCACTAAAAATCAATAATGAAGCAAAGCATCAATTCTAGCAGCGAGACGAAGGCACTAGGCACCGGCAAAGAAACAAAGAGAAAACCTGGATAGCAAGATGACGGAAGCAAACATGCAAACTCGACGACAAAGTAGAGTCCACATAAGCTAGACGACGACTTGATGGCAAGATTTCATTCTAGTCACTTCGTTTTCCTTGTAGGATTGGTATTCTCACTATACCTACTACATCCCCAAATATAGTTTGAATATATTATTATTGCTTACTTCACTGTCAATTTCCACCCTTGTTAATTACAGGAGAATTCGTCACACTTGATCAACAATGTTATATTTTCCTCCAAGTGTTACCATTGTTTGGGAAGTGAGTGCTTCGATATCATATTTTGCTTCTAATCATTATACATTTCCACTGACCGAAACTTAGTTATACTTCAGTAACCATACGTAGAAATTATTTTTTACTGGGCCGATCTGAATAGCCCAGCCAGACCATACTCCGTCCATAAAATTCAGAGTCATCTTGAACTGGACAAGTAGAAGTTGAACGCTGAAGCCTTATGGACCTGTCAGAATTTCCTTTCGTAGACCTGGGCCGGACCGTGAAAACAAGAATAAACAGAAGAATTTCCTTTCATTTGAGAGTGCTTTCTGTCTCTCTTCCCTTTCAAGTCCTGAACCACAATGTTTTAAGAAGAAAGTTTAAAGCAGAAAACGAGCATCTACATTTTAAAGGGAAAGCTACTTTTCACAATTCTCCCAAACTTTCGAAATTTTCACATTTTACGTACATTTTGGTTGAGTACCAGTTTAGTAATGGCCTGTGGAGAACTTGGATGCAATTGGCAAGGGCCTCCGCGTTCATGATCCCAAACATTTGAGAATTGATCGGCTTTATCATCAGTTCCTACCATGAAGTAATGACGACATTCTATATGCAATAAAAATTGGATTGAATTAGTCCGTCTGATTGAAGAGTCAATCAGATATAATCAATCTTACGTTCAATTCAATTGACTTAAAAAAAAAAATCAATCAATCAATAGAACCGACTCAGGCAAGAAAGAAAAATCGAAAAAGCCAATAAGATCAACGTGCACATATAGACTTGTTTGCTTACAAGAGTTTTAATGGTAAGTTTCATATTTAGCGATTAAGGTAAGCAGAATTCAGTATTCAAAAGCAATATGAATGCATTTTAGTATCTCATAAAAATTCTTCTCAAGTTGCTTAACTATGAAAAGAAAAAATAATAATAATAACAGTGCATGGCAGCAGTACCACTTTGAATTGGAAAGAGAAGAAAGGGAAGGAGCAGTACAAGAACCAAATTTTAATTATTGTCCAATAAAACCAATAAACGGTGTTAACTATGCGTCCATCTTTCTGCATAAATTACCTTTTTTCCCCCCCATAAACCCATCTTTCAGAGGTATATATCCGTTTGCTTTGACTGTGCTTTAAGATCCTTCAATTTCTTCAATATGTTTGTGAAGTAGTCCTGCAAATACTTCTCCAATGTAATTATATCTTTCTGATCCACGCCAAGAAGATCATATGTCTCTGCCATCGGAACAGAGAAAACGGTGTCGCTTGTTAGCACCTGCATAGTTTCCCATTTAAATCATCATTGATTAGCCCCATTATAGTCATATTTAACCACCAGTGAAATAAAAACAATGTGCTATCTATATTCTATATGCATAGAAAACTAGGTGCTCAAAATTACTTGATGACTCAGATATACAACACATACAGCTGTGAAATCATAAAAAAAGTGCTCATGCCAACTTCCACGCTGAACAAATCACATATTTATGATTTTCAAATTTTGTGTTCATTTTGTAAAATGTGTATAAAAATTTAAGGGTCTGAACATCCAATAACTTACCAAAATCTCATTCATATGGAATTCTCACTATTGGTTTACAATTTAGCAATGTAATGAAGCATTCAGCCACGAACTTAAAGCAGGATTCAACATGGGAAAGTGTACTTAAAAAAGCTACAATTGTCAACCTATTTGCTTGACGAACAATAATATCTTGCATATGATTTTAATAGGAAGGCTATTATGCCAGCGATTTTAATAGGAAGGCTGTGGTGACATTTAATAGGTAGCGACAGCCGTCAGGTGAGTACACCAAGAGAAATTTCACGGGAAAAAAATGAAGTCAATGGGATTTTTTTTTTTTTTTTTGGGACCAACCAAGTCAATGAAGTTTATGCATAGGATTTTACACCCTTGAAGAACCATTCCCAGAAGATTCGTTATCTAAGATACCAAATTTTTAATATTCAAAAGAAGTGCAGGAGTTAAGATATATGTCATGTTGTCTTCATAAAACATCTGTTGAAGAAATAATACCTCTGAAAAGGATAATCTGTCAGCAACATCATTTGTCCATTCAAAAAACCGGGTCAACCGACGAGTGAGTCTTAAAATGGAGACTGGAACTGTAGTCACGTTGGCATCTTGACCAGCAAGCCTCTCACACAACGTTATCACCTAAAATCAAGAATGAAAAGAAAGGATTGGTGAGCAAGGTATGTGATTACAAGCAAGTTGGTTACTTGGCTGAACAGCCTGAACTCATAAAATGTATACCTCTTGCGTTGTCCATGCACGAGGACCAGCAAATGTAAGAAGTTTCCCATTTACTTTCTCATTCCGTAAGGCTATAAATGTCAAGCGAGCTATATCCTACAAAAAAGTAGAAATTGATTAGAGACCTGGAATAAGAAACCGAATAGACAAAAAAGGAACCAGAGATGCAATACTTAACCTGGGTGTCCATGTAAGCAATTCTTGTTGGGGCATCGGTACCCCAAACAGATTTCTCTTCCAGGATTGGAACCGCGTACTGCCCAATAAGACCCTGCAACATTTTGCGTCAAAATTTTCAGTATTAGCAGCATAGAAGAAAAATCTAATATATAGATTTCTATCCGTACTTTTTCTCAGGATTCAAAATGCACAACACAGAATATGTCCTTTCCAAGAAACCTTGCTTTGTTTACGTACATCATTTGCACTAGGAAACAGTTTGAAAGAAGCAACATAATAAAAATGTTAGTAAATTTGTAATGTTACTATGTTAGATTTTCCAAAATTGTTGCCTGGCCACAAGATTTTCCTATTGTCAGCAATGTTAATCTGTCAATCAGAAGATTGATTGAAATTTGAAATGCGCCCTAAAAGGTTACAGAAGAAAGCCCAAAACATCAATTTCGGGGGGTAATTACTTGCATGAAACCACATAAACGGATAATGATGTGTTGGAGGCCTGAATCACGGAGAAACTTCTCGGTGCAATATTTGATCTCCATCAGTGGAACCTCTGGATGTTTATCGCAGTTATGGATGGAATAGAAGACATATTTCTGAATTCCCATTGCCTTAGCACATTGTATAAGAGCAACTTTTCCTTCCCAATCAACCTAAACAGAATGAATGGATAAAGTCCACTATTTAGAGTATTCAAAGTCTTCTGATAAAATAATTCTACATAACGAAAGACAGCAATAAAATCCTCCATCTGAAACCTACAGTTTTAATGGGCTCCTCCGGACGTCCGGTGGCACAGTCGATCACCGTGTGTATTCCAACCAACGTGGCAGGAATTGTCTCTGGTTTACTGAGGTCTGCCTGCCCAAAAGAAATAAACTTAGTAGCTTATGTATATCTTGTAGGAGCTAAAAGATATTACGGTTGAGGGGGATCCGCTGAATGCCTAAAAATCAATGCCACAGAAGATTCTGAATAAGAATGAAAGATAACTCAAAAATGGAAAATTTAATCAGATTTACTCATTATCTGCAGCTGTGCTTCTTCTAATTTTGATGATAAAAAAAAACATGTATGAAATTGGGCTCTTAGTTGAGATACTCAAACAATGAGCTTCAGAAAATAATTAGCGCCTGCTGGCATGGTTCTACACGTGACCGAAGAAGAAATACAACGTCAAGGGAATGAAAGAAGACAGGGAATGGTAAACGCAGATAGAACTGGTTGAAAAAACAGAGAGGAATTAAGTGAAAAGGTACATTGACAACAGTGGCTCCCCAATCTCGAAGGAAGTCAGCTGGAGCAGGCCTAGGCCTGACGAGGCACCTAACGTCGTAGCCTTCGTCAAGCGCGCGCCTCACAACCTGCCTTCCAAGAGTTCCGGTAGCGCCAACCACCAGTATACTCGTTGCCCTGACAGGAGTGCCAGGACCTAGATTCACCGCCCCCGTCGTCTGAACCTGCGCCGTGCAGCTCACTGGCGGGCTTCTATGCAATATTCCTCCTGATAAACAATATTGTAAAATGCATAGCTCAGAGAAATCCGTACGACCAGAATCCGGATAAGTGCACCTAAATTAGAATTAAAGGAGCGAACCAGTAGAGGTAGAAAGTGAAAGGAAAGGGAGAAGGACGATTGGGTTGGGCGATACAGTACGACGCCATGAAAGTTGGGCGTTTGCAGCAAACTGAGGAGTGGTGAGGTGAATTCTGGCAGGCATTGGAAGCTGAGCGGCCCTCAGCGCCATACTTCGCTGAGATGCTGAAGAAGGATCAAGAAGAAGAAAGAGAAAAAGAAGAGTTGGTAGATCATAATGATGCCACGTCGGATGAGTAGTGGATCAGTTCTACAGCAACGTGTCCGACTCCCTTCCATTCTTTGCAAATACAAGGCTTATATTCGCGTACTTGACTTCCCTCGTTCGCACCTTTTATTAAAGTTGAATGGTCTAGAGTTAATTTAAATAAATTATTTTTTATTTTTATTTTTATTTTTATGTTATATTTATTAAAATATAAAATATAAAATTTTTATCAAATATAATCAGTAATTTAAATGATTTAAATTTAATAGGTGATGCAAACTTAATATTAAAATTTTTGTACTATTCAAAATTTATCTTAGTAGCTAATTTATAAAAGTTAAATAAATTATCAAATTTAATTATCAATATGAACAATCCATATTTAATATAAATGAATTAAATTTAATATTAATTAACTTTTTATAATTTTAATATTAAATTTGAACCATTCACGTTAGATTTGAGTTGTCCAATTTAATAATAAAAAATATTTATTAATTTTTTATAAGTTTTAATATATAAATAAAAATAAATATATTTAATTTGAGTTATTTAGATTAAAATTGGATAGTTTAAATTTAATAAAAGTAGGAAAGAGGGTAAGAGAAGGGAAAAGTGAAAGGAGGATATATCCAGGGGACTCCAAGTCTCCGACTATACAAGTATAAATTAATTATATTTTGATGTGAAGTTGAATAAAAAAAGAAAAAAGTCAAGAAGAAAAATTGGTTTAAAGCATGGTTTAAAAAACGGGTGTTCAACCAGTTAAAATACTAGTTGGTTAATAGAAAAATGAAACCGTGAATATATTAATTTATTTTAAATAATATACATTTAAAACAAAAATAATAATTATATAACAACAAAAATAATAATTTTATTTATTTATTTATTTATTTATTTTTCCTCTAGTTCTACGGGTTCTTTGCTCACTGATTTTTCCCCCCTTATTGATCAGACCGGGCATGGGAACAATTCACGGTCAAGCAAAACATTCTTATCCAATTCTCACAAAACTCAGCAAAAAGATCAGATAACAAAAATATTTGATCAGGAGGACTAAAATTTGGTCCGTAAAGTTACTAAAATGCCCTTTAAATTTAACATTGATTTGATATAAAAAAAGTACAGTAAATCTCACATTAATAAGCTTGTCATAAAATATAGCTAAGAGTATTAAAAAACAAGACAATACAGTAAATGAGAGAGAAAATAATAAAAAAGAATTCACATTTACTAGTGTACATATGCTTTGAATATGACCTTTATTTATAGGCCATCAATCATTCAAGTGTTATCCTAATATTAAAAAGATATAGAAAGGCATATAATTGTGCATTATATAACCTTTGAAGGTTATAGGCCATTAATCAAAAAAAAATCCTTTTATGCCATTTATTAGGACATTAAAGATAAAAAATTTTAAGAACTATGAATTATGAACATCCATAACCTAAAATTTATAATACTTCCCTTGGATGTCCATAACAAACATTATACCTCATTAAAACCTTATTAAGAAAAACCAAATGGGATAAAAATTTAGTGAAAAAAGAGTACATAATATTTTTAAACACTTGTTAAAGTTGCCTTATTAAAAATCTTTTTAGGAAAATCCAATGAGACAAAGTCTTGGAAAGGAAAAAAGAATACAATGTAATATTCCCCCAATAACAATATCACTTCACTTCCTCTTGTGACACCATCACTTTATGTCTTTGAATCTTTGCATTCCAATACCAACACTAATCTCTCAAATGTTGAAGTTGGCAATGTCTTAGTAAACAAATCTGCATAATTGTCACATAAGAAAATTTGTTAAACATCTATATCACCTCATTTCAAAAGGTCATGAGTGAAAAATAATTTTAAAAAAATATGTTTTGTTCTATCTACTTTGACGTATCCTCATTTTAATCTAACTATACATGCTATATTATCTTCATATAATATTGTTAGAATATTTTTCCCAACAATAAACCACATATCTTTTGGACATAATGGATCACTAACCTTAGCCAACCACATTATTTACTTGTCCAATGAATTGCAATTATTTCTACATGATTTAATGAGGTAGTAGCTAAAGTTTATTTTGTTAAATGCCAAGATATTATTGTACCCCTATAAGTAAATAAATATTCATTTTGTGATCTACCTTTATGTGGATTTAATTGAAATTTTGCATTTGCATAACCAATAAATTATAATTCAAATTCATTAGAATAAAATAATCACATATCAATTGTCTCTTGGAGATATTAAAATGAGTGTTTAACTCCATTCTAATGCCTTTTCGTTGGGAAAGAACTAAATCTTGCTAATAAATTTATGGCAAATGCAATATCAAGTCTTTTTTAATTAGCAAGATATATCAGTGTACCTATAATACCAAGATATGGTACTTCAAGATTAAAAAGTTCTTTATCTTTCTCTTAAGGGTGAAAAGGATCTTTTTTTCTCATCAAAAGATCTCACAACTATCAGAGTAGTTAATAGATGTGCTTTGTCCATGTAAAATTGCTTCAATATTTTTTCAATGTAAGTTGATTGATAAAGAGAAATTTCATTTGCTAAGTGCTTGATTTGCAAATCGAGAAAAAATTTTGTTCTTTCAAGATCTTTTATTTCAAATTCTTTCTTTAAGCAATCAACTACCTTTTGGAACTCTTCAGGAGTTTCAATTATATTCAAATCATCAATGTAGATAGTAATTATAACAAATTATGACCTATTTCTTTTTAAAAAATATATGGAGAGATTGGAGTGTTTTTATAACCTTCATTTAGCAAATATTTACTGAGATAGTTATACCACATTCTCCCAAATTGTTTTAGTCCATACAAATATTTATACAAACAAATTGCATGTTTTTCTCAAGAATCTTTACATGCTTCCAGCAATTTAAATCCTTTAAGGATTTTCATATAAATGTTTGTATCTAAAGAGCCATATAAATAAGCCGTAACAACATCTATTAAGAACATATCTAGTTTTTCATGTACTACCAGATTAATTTTATGTCTTAAAGTGATTCCATCTACCATAAGAGAATATATTTCTTTATTATAATACTAGGTTTTTGTTAAAATTCTTATGCAACTAGTCGTGCTTTATATCTAACGCCTTCTATTTCCTCATTTTGTTTTCATAAAATACACATCTATATACAACTAGCTCTACACCATTGGGTATTCAAACAACAGGTCCAAAAACTTCACATTTTGAAAGTGAATATAACTCTACTTGAATTGTATCTTTTCATTTTGTCCAATCATTTCTATTTCTACAATCTTCATTTGATTTTAGTTTTAGATTCTCATTTTGCTTCATTATTTTCACAGTAACATTATATGAAATTATGTCGTCAACAACTAAATTTTTTCAATTCTATTTTTTTTCTTATAGTGACATAATTTATCGAGATCTCTTCATTATTTTTAGGTATTTAGACCTCTTCTAGGTTCTTCTAATTAGTTATGTCTCCGTACTTTTTTAGAGTACCAACCTCTTCAACTATGCCATCTTTATGTTATGCTTCTTCCTTCTTTCTAGGATTTTTATCTTTAAAACCAATTAGTCTACTACACTTCAAATGTAGCTTAAATTCATTCGCATTTTCTAATTGTCCTATTGGGACATATATTCTAATAGGAACATTTTCAATTAAAATATGAGATTTGATAATTCTTTTCATGTTAGTAAATGCATCAACAATTGATTTGTAATATTTTACAAATGAATTATTTTTTTAACTTCAAGTTCACATTGCTTTGTACAAGGATCTAGACGAGATGATGATAATACATTCCATGTAATTTCTTTGTTCAGTTGCTTATTTTCTTTCCCTAATGTTGGAAAAATTGTTTCTGTTGACCTTGATTTTGATAATTACAAAAAGTTAGAAAGTTGTTTTTACATAGCAAAATTGTCAAAGTTAAGGAAAGAAGATTTATGTGCTTAAATTCTTTGATTATTCTTAACCTTAATTTTTATTCCATTAGAAAAATTAGTTGAGTTATTTCTATCCAAGAATTGATTTAGATCTAATTGGAAATGAATTAAAAATCTTTTGTTGATTTGTTCTTGAACCTACCGGTATATGTCATACCTACTGGTATGTCTCTTTTCTACACAAATATCTCCATCCTACTCAAATGTCTTAATCTTATCGATATGTTATAAACCTACCTAAGGGTCCTACTTTTACCGATACATGTATAATCTAGCCAAATGTCCTCTCCTAATCTAAAACCTTCATCTTTTAGACACTTTTATAAGGTTTTTCTTACTATACCACAATTAACTCCAATATCAAGGTAATTAAGGGACTAAACCCCTCTAAGAATTACCAAGTTTGTAAAATTTCATAAATAGGAGCAATTCTCAAATCAATACATTGGGATCCCAAAATTCAACATTTAAAATTTCTATCAAATACATATTATGCTTAAATCAGAGTTTTAAAATAATGCGGAAGTTTGAAAATTATTAGGGACCTAAAATAAAGAGTTTCAAAACTCAAAACAGTGCTTTGTGCAGAAAATGACCCATGCACCATGGCTAAGTGAACATGCATCGCAACTCACTCGCCTTTGTGCCATGTGCCATGATGCATTGCACGAATTTGATAGATATCAGCTGTCAAAATGACAGCACAGGGAGCAAACTTCAAACGCATCCTAAATCTCTATCCGACATCCGATTGAGGAAGTTTCAGTGTTTACACAGAACTTTCTACTAGCTTTAGCTAATAGCATCAGTTTCACACTCAAATTCATTTTTTACAAAAAGTTGAACACCAAAACTCATGTTACCACCCTTTTACTAAAATTTTACAACCATGGTGTCCCAGCTCAACTTTAAGTGCTAAAAGTCTACACTAACCTTCTGATCATACTCAATGGACTCTAATAGACTCGTGCAATGCACCATAAACAACCAAAAACACATAAATCTCAAAATCAC